TAAATAGAACGAGGCATCAGTTTACTGCATCCAGTGTAGACAACATCACTGATTATAATGGGTTCTATTCTACACTGGACACAAGCGGCGCGACAAAATACAATAGAATTTTATTGTATTTTGTCGTGCCGCGCGATGTGATGTGACCGATGTGATGAGCATGAGTTCTGGGCCACGGCGTGGCCGGTATAAACACCGGCATTGACTGAGTGGCCGCGATCAGCTCCGGTGGCCGTAACACAGGCTTTAATGCGCCGCAGACGCGTGCCGTGATGCGCAGATCAGCTCTAGTCTCTAACGTCACTGAATCTGCTGTTAAAAACGAGCCATCCATTCATCATATCATCATGCAAAACTAAGAATTAGAATCATTGTAATGTGACGATCAAATATAGGTGCGGGTGGGTGGCAGGCGGATCATTTATTTGAAGCAGCGGACTCCGGTGAAGTTTGAGCTCATCCGCGCATCTCTACACTGACCTGGGTCGCCAGTAGCAAACAATGGAGCGCGCTCTGCTGGACAAACTAAGTAATTACACCATTACAGCATTTAATCTGCGTTATATGTTCTGTAAAAAAAAATTTTCATATCGGCGGCATATTCGACGATACCAATATATCGCGACAGGCTCATATCGGCCGATAATATCGGCTAAACGATATATCGGTCAGGCTCTAATTTATATAATATCTCTATGTAAGAATAATATTATAATTTCTGTAACTTCTATATGTCTTTTAACAAACTGTCAGCCTTTGAAACCACTTTGACAGTCTGTTTACAATTACTAGTGTTTTCTTACTCATTGATATTGATTCTTCACAGATAAGTGTCCAGCCACCAGTATCCTTCCCTCCCAAATCAGTTCCTCCCCTGTGGTCAACCATCTTCTCCTGGGCAGGAGGCCCAGACCCGGTCAGCAGTCCTCAAAGAACGGGATCGTCCATAACGGTGAAGGTCCTCAAGCCCACTCCACACCCAGCCAGGATCAGATGATTCGGGCCAGACATCACTCGCCCTGGCGCACACATGTGCGAGCGCACCGGAGGAACATCGCCAGGGCACGGGCGCAACTCGGGTTTGATGATTCTCTGGAGATAGAAGACGAACAAATGAGCAAAACAGAAGAAGCATCTGAAGAGGGAAGACGTGAGGATGAAGAGCAAGAGAAGGTGGAGACTGTAAGCCCAGATGTCTCTCAGCAAGACCACAGCTCTGGAGAAGAAAATCTCCAGGAGATCAACAAGCAGTTGTCTTCTTTGGAACTGGAACCAGAACTTTCATCAGAAGCAGCTTCTGATCCAACTCCACAATCAGATGCCGATTCTGATGCACCTACGTCATCTCCAGAACCAGCTTCTGATGCACCTACATCATCTCCAGAACCAGCTTCTGATGCACCTACATCATCTCCAGAACCAGCTTCTGATGTACCTACACCAACTCCACCACCAGAATCGGCTTCAAATCCAAATACACCAACTCCACCACCAGAATCACAGCCAGAGCCCAAATCCACGGCCTCAGCTCCGTTCCCATCCACCCACCGTCCAGGTTCAGACTCATTCAGCTCAGAAAGCAGAGGCTCACTCAAAAGTAGCCCTTCAACGTCAGCAGGAGAACCTCCGAAACCACAGCAGATCTTCTCCCCGTTCCCTTGCATCAAAACCCCTCGCAAGTCCATCACTGCCAGAAACTTGGGCCTCTACGGTCCAAACGCCAGGACTCCAAATGTGCACTTTCCCCAGATGAGCAGAAGCATGAACCATGTTGGAAACACCACAAGGCGGCGATGATGAATAGTCGACTACAGGCGAGCACTTATTTGATTCTTCATATCGATACGTTTGGGTTCAAAACTCCAACCACGAAAGCACATCTCTAGTATGCTTCCAGATACTCCAAAACATCAACATTTAGGAACAATATTTGATAATTTAATGCTTCCATGAAGTTTATAACATGAATTTATGAAGGCTGTTTCTTGTTTATTTTCTTTTTTTTAGTGAAACCCTACCTAAACATTTGGGAATTATACCCGACACTGAAAGTGTCTCTTGTTGCATGTTCAGGTCAGCAGTATTCGCTACAATGCACTGTGTATGTTTACTTACATGCTTCAAAGCTCAGAAAATCACTTGTATGTAAAATACTCATGCTAAATGACTGGGAAATGCTGCAGTTCTGCATTGCACAGTCCAAAAGGATTTTTTAGCAACCATTTACACTATTTAATCATATAAAGTCAACAAATTTTCCATGTTCGCTTGTTTCTGTTGTTTTTGACAACACTGGTGTTCATTTTCCAGTCATGTCAAGCCATTCATGTTTCTTTTATTTTGATCTTTCCTTAGTAAATTATTCATTTGCCATCTGAATGACACAAGTTGTTGTCATTAAGTTCTCTTTTCTGATGCTCTGGTCAAATCTCGCCGCAATTTAACGTCCCTTTGAATGTTTCTCTTCTCTCTATTAATCTTTGGGGCATATGAGTAGTGGAGGATCACAAATGCCCCACAGAGATTAAAAGACGTGCAAGTATGGAAAAAAACCCTCTTCAGTTTCTACTTATTTCTGTTGTTTCCAATCCAATAAGTCATTTGTGTTTGCTTTTGAATTAAAACCACAATATTAGTTTTTCAGGCATAAAATGACACCTACTTTATCAAAACATGTAATCCAACTACATGGATGAACTGAATGGAAATGTGTGCATGTTATATGAAAGTGGCATATTCTGTTGTTTTGAACCAAAATAACCACCAGTATCTCACACTGGCATGATTATATGAGTGTCTTCTGGGCCTAATAGAGATTGTGCTCTGGTTAAATTATGACGTAATATCAACAGTCATTTAATCTGCCATCTTTACAAGGGCTTCATGAATAATTGAAATGTAAAATGCATTCAGCCTGAAGAGGTTTTATATTTAGCTCTTTAAAAGCCTTCCGGAAACGACACCAACACTAGATGGTTAAGAGCTTATTATCTGTTTAAAGTCCTGTTTTTCCACTCACATCCACCATGTAACAGCATGTTATTTAGATTTTGAGGGTATAATAGGCATAATTTTCGCTTTGTATGTAATGTCTTTTGGACACGTATTTAGTTCCTTCCATACTTCTTACATACAGTAAAGAATTGTTACCATCATATGATGTGTAAAATGACAAATCAAGGCCTGTGCTTGCTTAAGTCATCCTGAAACTCACTGAGATTGCAATATAACTGGTTTAACTGCAATATAATTGTTTGTCTGTGGTGTTGCATCAGATTTCAGAATGTACAGCAAGTTCCTTTCATGCATGGAGTTGCAAATGAGCACTTTGTTCATAGAAACTGTTACATGTTTACTTTATTACTTCAGGTGTCTTAAGCATCAAAAGGTTGGTTGAAGCCACCATTTTGTGAGAACTTTGCACCATTTTTAAATAGTCTAAAAGCATGTAACAAATTCATCCTTTCCTGAATTTTTTGTTTGATTTTCTTTTAATCAGCTGGTATTTGGTTGATTTTGATTGAACTCATGAAGTAAGTTCACCACAAGTTCACAGGTGTAGTAGTAGAATCATGTTCCGCTAACATTTCATCACCACAACCCAAGTGTTTGCTTAATGTTAAATAGTTCTTTAGAATATCTTTTAAAAATAATTTGCCCCAGTGTGATACCGTACGCTTTTAATACGTTACGGCCAACAACGACATGCTTCAGTGTGATTACAGGCCCAAAAGCTTTCAGTGGCTGCTGTATGAAGTCATGAACCCATCAAGGATCTGACAACCACTGCAGTAAAAGTCCGAAAAATTCGGTGAGTAACAAGCCATTGTGTTTTGTAGCCTATGTGCTTAACACTTGTTTACTACTTAAACCCTAAGCAGACAACTATAATCATACAATATATTTAGTAGCAATAGCATCTCCATATGTGGAAAATATTTCTGACTAAGCCTTTAATAGTTGACCTAGCTATTGCATAATGACACGTTTGCGGTTACCAGCAGTTTATGGGTTTCATTAGCAGCCGTGCGCTAGGCCTCAGGTGATAAGAAAAAAAGATTACAGTTTGGGATTTTCCAGATTTCTGGTTAATTTTATGAACTGACGAAAATGGAGGGAAATTGTTTTACCCTTACACTCCCTTTTCTTTGTTTTATAGCTTTTGTAATGCTTGAACACTAGATGTCGTTGTTGATCTAGCTTAGTTTTACTTCTCAAATAGCCTCGTACAGTTTAGGAGCTGACTGTGGGGAGAAATGTCCTGTTAATGATATAAATAATGTAACAAAGAACTCATTGAAAGCATATTTCAATAAATATAAGGCCTTTTAATGAGTTTTTCATGAAGATCACATGTGAAAAGATGACAGACGTGTACTTTGTTTTGAACCCTCTTTGCCTAAACATGCAGAGAAAGATCATGTTGAGAAAAAAGTTAGTCATAAAGTAATTAGGGTTATGACTTCCTTTAGGGATGTCATGATGTCATCATCATGATGGGCTCAAACATCAGCTCTTCTCTTCCACACAGAGACATTATTGACATGGTTTTATTGTAATGGTGTTCAGCAGGCGCCACAGTGCTTCTTCAGGATCTAGTAATTAATCTATAAAACATCATAGTGTTCATAAATCCACATGAGGAAAGATGTTTCCTTGACTCCGGCTAATATGAAGATGCAGTGTTTGAAAAAGAAAGACACATGAATCAAACAGGCCTTAAAACTCCTTCAGCTCCAGTTTATTGTTTAATCTCCCCCAAAGACCCAAATAAACCCTGAGTGTCATTTGTGCTGGATTTATGCATCACTGTGTCCTTGTGAGAAAATGTTGGATGCAGATTTCCCAAGGGATTCTGGAATGGTCTGAATTTAGTGTAGTGATGGAATGGGCAGACGTGTCTGTTGAGACTGGCAAGATGCCGAGTTCGGCTTGTATTTACTCCACGTATGATTTCCTCAGGGGCCAATTTGTCTCATAGGGCAAAGGACAAGCTTGAAATTCACCTATGAATGATGCGACTGACCGAGTTTGTTTTTCTGGTCGTCAAGGTGTTGCTTTAAAGCTTGCAGGGGTCAGAAATCGAATTGATTCAAATTCATTTTCAAATTTCTTAGTATTTCCCGTGAAAAAACACCCGATGATTATGTTGTCATGTATGATTTGAAAATGTTTCACTGGAAGCAAGAACATCTGACCATCAGTCATATGATCAATGATATAAATTTAGATTATAGCGACCTATTAGAAATAGAGCAGAATCTTCCGTTTCTTTTTTGATTTGTTTTCAAATTTTTTAAATTCTAAAAAGTTTTTCTATTTAATTTTAATGCCAGATTTTTTTTATCCACAACTGAAAAATGATTGAAAACAAGATAAAAAAATAAATAAAAAAATAAAATAAAATAAAAAAATATATATATTGTTTGTGATGATTCTATCAACTTGATCCACTGCTGAAAACATCTCGCTAATAAAAACAATAAAAACTAATAATCAAAAAATAAAATAATGAATACAATTAAAATAAGGTGTTTTGGGATTTTTCTAGCCACATGATCCACAGCTGAAAACTTATTGACATCTTATAAAAAACAACAACAAAAATGTCATAATTAAAAAAATAATAAATCAAATAAAAATAAGTTGTTTGTGATGATTCTAGCAACATGATCCACAGCTGAAAAAGATTGTCATCTAATAAAAACAATCAAATATAATAATAATTAAAGATAATAAATAAAAATAAGTTGTTGCCATTTCATCCAAAGCTGAAAAAATGATTGCAATCTAATGAAAACAATAACAAATAATAATAAAATAGAAATATATTGTTTGTGATCATTCTAACAACATTATCCACATCTGAAAAATGATTGCAATATAATAAAAATAAATTGTGATCATTCTAACATGATCCACTGCTGAAAAACTATTGCAATATAATAAAACAGTATATAATAATGAAAATAATAAAATAATAAATAACATAATCACAAATTTAAAAAACATGATATTGAAAGCCAGTGTGTGCAAATGAAAAAACCATACATATATAGAAATATATTTTTTAAAAGGTCCGCATTATATGGATGTGTTATGATGATGCAGTGTGACTTCTGTTTTCCCACCTATTTGAAGTTCCTGTGGAAAACCCCATTCCTGTCCCACCCAGTGACCCAGTAATGACTTTATTCAGAAGCAGAGATACTTCCGTTTTGTTAATTAACTGGCCGAATGATGGCCACAGTAATCCCTCAATCCGGTTCAGACATGGATTATTATCCGTCCCGTCATACAGGAGCGGGGACAACATGCGTGAATCCACACTGACGTCCTCTTCTGCTCTGCTCCTGCACGACTGCGCCGTAATCTGCATGTTATAATCCATGCATGCATGACGGGGCGTAATCACACTTCCTCTGCGTTTCCGGCAGGATTACTCTGTGAGGAAGTGAAGGCTTACACAATCTCTGTGTGTGTGTGTGTGTGTGTGTGCTGTACAGGTGAGAGTTTCATATTAAAGCTCAAAGAGCCAATAAAATGCATTGACAAGCAATGTTTTTTTCCAACTGATACTGGAAATTTGGGAAGGATCATATGAAAAGCCTTGTCACTTTTATGAACATGAAATGTTAATAGATCTGCTACACTTTAAAAATTTACTTTTCGAAGTTGTAAATTAAACTAAGATTGTTGGAGTATGGAAGCTTGTTGCTGGCACGGAATAAAACAAATACAAATGTTCAGTAATTGCAACTTTTTTTTCTTAAGTTTGAATTTATATCTTGCAGTTCCAACTTGAGAACAGAATTGAGAGAAAAGAAGTCAGAATTCTGAGTCTATATCTTCTGAGTCTAGATAGCTTTCTTTTCAGAATATTTTTTTTCTAAGAATTGCAAGTTAATATCTCACAATTCTGAGTTTATATCTTGTAATTCAGATTTTGTATCTTGCGATTCTGAAAAAAAGTCAAAATTCTGAGTTGATATCACACAATTCTGACTTTTTTCTCAGAATTCAGAGAAGAAAGTCTGAATTCTGAGTTTATGTCTCACAATTCCGACTTTTATTCTCAGAATTGTGTTTATATCTTGCAATTCTGAAAAAAAGTCTAATTTTTTCAGTTTAAATCTTTCAGTTCCAAGTTTACACCACATAATTCAGAATTTTTTCTCAGATTTGACCGGAAAAAGGCCAGAATTCTGAGTTTATATCTGGCAATTCTGACTTTTTTAAATTAATTTTTTTATCCCATGGCAGAAACAAACGTCCATAGTTACTTATCATTTCTTCATAATTATGTGAAATTTACTAGCAGTTTCTGACTGAAAATTGTTTCAAAGTAAATCCTACACCAAATTTGTTTCAGTGCACTTGCTTTGCAAGTCAAAAGTAGGTGTTATTCTATGAATATTTTTGGTCTTTGGTTCAGAAAAAAATAAATTGAAATGCACATATTTTTATCTAACTTTTATTTTGTTAACTTATGAGTTCACAACATTTTTAGAGCTGACAGAAGACTTCTGGTCTGCGTGTTGATCGGTCAGTG